CTTACCCCTTCGTAATTCGTTTGCAACGCAGGCAGTACTTCTTTTACAGTACGCTCTACCAATACACCACCTACAAGGCGAAAACATTTTCGATCTCCATTCAAAGGAGATATTGTATCAATTACCGCTCTTTTACCAAACGAGTTATAAATATGGAACAGAGTTATTGTTTAATCAAATCGGGTCGATATATAATAAACAAGAAAATATATTTAGTATAATCTCGACATTTAATAATTAACAAAGTCAATTTTAAGTATTATTGAGATTTGAATATTACTAACTTGTGTTCTTCGGCGTCACCCTCTAATTCCCCAATTTTCTGTGCAATTGCTTGCATTTCGCTTTTCATGTTATTAAATTGTAAGGTTATTTCTGTTTTTTTTGACCATTTAATTATTAGATAAAGATCACGTATATATTACTGGGATATGTTTCGTAAGTACCTTGGTCGGTAAGTTTTTTAGCTTTAGAAGACATTGTAAATTTTCTTTTTAATCTGTCAATTTCAGACATGTATTTATATTAAAATCCACGTGATAGGCAACGTATGGCGATCATCGCATTGCTAGAAGATCATTAGTTTTCACTTTTACTCATAAATATATACAGTATATAATGTGGTGAAACAATTAATGGAGTTTATTTTATAACCTGTTGTTAAATATAATAATGATATTTACAAAGTTATTATACGCTAATCTTTTAACTTTGCTTTTTTATATGTTCTTCTATCTTTATTATTTCCTTTTCCCATCTATCCCTTAATTCGTTAAGCTTTCTAGACATTTCCATATTCCCTCTTTCTTGATACCACTTCTCCATGATGATGGCCACCTCTATGCCTGTTACTAGTCTTGAAATTTTTACAGAATTAGTGTATTCATCAAATTTTTCTTTCTCCAGTAGCTCAGCAACATCTTTATTTATCCCAGATTCCTCTGACCATTTTGATCCAAAATCTCCTTGAATAAGTTCACTATGTGAAATTGTATTAAGCTCCATTGAGCTTTTGTCCATAACATCAAATGATTTTATAAATTCTTTACACGTCTCATCGGCTCTTCTCCAACCTTCTTTGGTATTTGATTTTAATGACGCCGATATTAAAATTGTATATAGATGCGCATCATACGGTGACAATTCGTAATAGGTCATCAATCCAAAAGTTTTATAAAGATCATCCAGTGCCGATAATTCGTTACGACGCGTTTCTTCTTTTCCTTCCTCAGTTTTCAGTGTATCCTCCTCCATTTTTGGTTCTGTCACATTATCTTTTTCTGCTAGCTCACTTGTTGAAATTATTTTGTTGGCGATCGATAACATAATATATCGAAACACTTCTCGGTTCGGTTTCAGCGCGTACTTTGATCGATCTGCAATCATCTCCAAAGCTAAGTCATACGAAGAAATCTCGGGTGCTACCAATTTTTTTACTAGAAAACGTGTATTTATCCGTGTTATCGGTAGTAGTCTACGACGCCATTGAGCAAAAATTTTTGCCAGCATCTTTGCTTCGTCGCGATTAGTTGTCTTGAATATTAAGTTAGTAAGACGGCCATGACGTGGATTTACGTGTTTTGGCAGTTCCCAGTGGGATTTCTCTTGTATCTCAGAATAGACGGCTTCAAACTCCGTCGATATGATTCCAGAAGACGATTCAATTTCCGTTGTAGCGATTATTGGAAATAGGTCTTCAATCTCCGAATCCAAAGGGTCTTCTCTTGGAATTTCGACAGATTCATTTACTGCTTCTTTTGTAATTTTCTTTTCTTTTTTATCTGGGTCCTTTCGAGTTTTCTGGACTTGGGCTATGAGGAAAATCCAATAAACGTTCCTAAACAACAGGCAAATAAAGTTTTTAGCAGAGAAAAAAATTTTATTAAATACCATAGTAACTCCCTGTTACGTGGACTTGTCTCTGAACGGTTAGGCCAAATTCACGATATTTTGCGAGTAGTTTGTCTAATACGAAATAATAAAAGGTGAACAATTTTCTTAGAAATAGAAATTTGTCGAGATAACTTACCATTTAGACGTTTTTTCTTGCATTCAATGGGAACTTTAATGACCGAAACGAAACATCGGAAAAAATAATTTCGAGCTAATGGCAGATTTATAATTTTATGAGTTGCATTCTTATTTAGTAACGATTGTGGTGAACCTAAACGTTCCAAGAAAGTTCGTTTTAAAAACATTGAATAAAGTAAAAAAAATAGTGAAGAATTCTTATTGATAATCTAGAATTATCACGTGAGTTAATATCGGATTTAATCAATAATTAAAAAGTTAATTTATTTATTACTATTTATTCTAATAAATACAGTATATTGGTTATAATATAACTAGTAGCTAATTATTATTTATTATTTTCTTTTTTTTTACAAAAATTTTTAAAGTTTTTATATACTGTATCACTTTAATTTTAATTAAACTAAAATTAACTTATTTTTATAAAAATTCTTAATATAATAATAAAAATTCAATATTTAATATCTATAAAAAAATCAAAAAAGTTAATTTGTTAGATTAATTTTTTTTTAATCTTAGATTTATTAATTATTATTTTTCAATTATAGGTTTTAATAATAGATTTAAATAAAAGATAAGTATTAAATATATAAATAAAAAATCAATTGATTTTTTTTATAAAATAAAAAGTTATTTTATATTTTTTATATTTATATTTCAAGTTTTATTATATAGATTAATTTTAGAAATTTAATTATAAAAATTTAAATTATATAGAAATAAAACTTTTAATTGATATATTTTTTAAATTTAAGTAATTTTATTAATAGAGATTATATATAAAATATAAATATATATTTTTTGTTTATATAAATAAATATAAAATATTTTTATTAATTATATTTTATTAAAATATATTATTAATACTATATATATATATATATATATATATTTTCGTAATTAAACAAGTATTTATTATATTTATTTAATCTTTCTAGAAGAAGACATAATTGTACATTCGACTGTTATGCATAAACTAATTACTTATACTTGAATACCTGTCTTAGGCAATTAATCTCTATATATGATCTTGGAGGTGAATAAAGTTGCTCCCTCTTGTTTCCTGTTCCTAAGAAAACTCAAGTTCATAGCCTGCAGTTCATCACTACAGTTCACCTTGGCAAAATCTTGATTACTTAATATTCCTAACCACTTTTTTCCTTCCTTTATCTTATCCCATAGTATTTTCACCAGTTCAGGATTATGATTGGAACTGTCTATTGTTGCCTGGGGGCTGTTGATATTTTGGAGCTTGACGAGTCTTGCTGTATCATGTTCTTCTTCCCCTGGGAGCCCTGTGTGTCATTGGCTTTCCGATTTTGTATAACGGTCTTCTTTCCTTTACCTTTGTCCAGAAATCTCTTCTTATGCTCTTGTACCCTTTCATATCTTAGATTCCAGATTGCCTGTCTTATCTTTTCACATCAGAAGTTAGAGAGCTTGCTAAGGATTCTTCTGGCTTTGACTTTAGGAATCTTCAGTGATCGGAGGGTATTGGTCCACTCTTCTATGTCTTTTTTTGCCCAGAGACCAATAGTTATATTGATTAATTCCTTGGTTGAATCAGATTTTTCTTCTCTCCATTTTCTGAAAAACGCATCTATTGCTAATTGCTTTCTATCCACCTTTTTGTCAACATGTTGTGGAATCCATGACTTTATGAGTTTATCTTGAGCCTGATGCCAAATGTTCTTTTTGATTTCTTTTGTTTCTTTGCATGTTAACAGATGGTCTAGAGTTTCCTCTTGGTGTTGGCAGAGCACGCATAAGTTGTTGGGCATTTCTAGAGAATTTCTTTTGATCAAAGTATCCATGGTTGGAAGTTCATTGTAGATTAGTCTGGTCTTGAATGTTCTATTCCCTACAACTTTGAGTGAGGTGTTGAGGGACCCTCCTTCTTTGCATTGATCCCAAAGGCCTTTCCAGTTAAATTTTTTGAGGTTTTGGATTTCCTCTTTCCATCTTTACTGGATCCTATTTTGTAATATCCACTGTATAAGAATTTCCCTTTTATTATAATCCTTAAAAAATGCTCTGGTTGAGATGTCAATAGGGATCTTGTTCTATTCTGACACTGTGATAAGAACTGTTATGGAAAGGAGCCTCTATTGTATTTCTGGTTCCTCCTTTGCTTTCTTTGTCAGCTGATCCACCTGATTATTGTTAAAGTCTTTACTATGTGCCTTAACTTTGATAAGCTTTAGTTGTACCTTTTTCTTCATTATTATATCAGCCAGTCTTAACCAGAGTTGCCATTTTGATTTTTTCCTTTGTTTTTTAAGAATATCTTTGGAATGTGGCTTAATTATATTTGCATAAGAATTTATACAGGAGGAGCTATCTGTTCTTATTTCTACTATACTGTCGTTTGGCACTGACAGGGTTGCTAGAATGATTGCTACCAGTTCTGCTCTAGTTGAAGAGAGCCAATTGTCTATAGCTACTTGAAATGATCTTCCGGGATTGGGTCCTTTGGTCTGTATTCATGCTGCACCCATTCTTAAGGATCGATCTTGTGTGTGTTCTAGTGATCCATTTGTATAGAATTGGAGGGGGCCTGCGTGGTTTTTGGTTACATTAAGGTGGTATTCATGAAGTAGCAGCTCACGAAGATCCCCTGCAAGAACATTGTCCTATATGATTTGTCTACCATAATCTTCGATTTCTACAAATTGAAGTTTGGATGTGGGTGTGTCTTGCGGATATGCTTTTTTCATTTTAGCTAAGACCAGGTTCTCTAATGTATAAACATCTATTGGAATAGTTGGTTTCTTATTTCGCCTGTATTTTTTGATATTGTTGATCCAGGCAAATATGAGCTTATGATTTTCTTTAGTATCTTTGTGTGCCAATTGTATCCTGATAAATTCTGTTGTTTCCGGGAGTCTGTCTGAACTGATTTGGTAATACTCTATCTCCTTGCTATTGTTTGCTAATGTACCTTTGTTTCTGGTCCAGTAGAGTTCTTTGTTGATCTCTTCCATACTTACTTGCCAGTTCTATTTTCTTGGATCTGTTATCCTTTTTGTTATAAAAAGCGATCTATCCTGTGGTGTCCAGTTATAATTGGCCCAAGTTGTTTTCAGTACTTCAAATTCATTTGCTAGAATCTGCTTCACTGTTTGGAACCAGAAGGGAACAGGTCCTCGTCCACGAACTTGAGGGTCTTGAATTAGTTTCCAGTTTAATAGTGTGTTGGACTCTTTATCAATGAGCTAATCTACAAACATTATATTGTGCTTTTTTAAAGAACTTATTGCCTTGTCATAGACTCTAGCATTATTAAGCAAGGTTTTGATTGTAATATGTCCTCACTCTCATTGAAATAAATCTTTCCAGTATGAGTCCGAAAAGGTAATATCCAGTTTGTTAACCATCTTGAGTATTTGGGCTGAAAAGTTTTTTCTTATATGAGTTGTAGGAAGTATTGTCTGAGAGTATATTTGCTGGCTCCCAGTGTTTTATTTGCGCTTGCTTGAGTCGAATGAGAGTTGATGTGCCGGCATGATCTGTGTTGTTAATTCAGTTTGTGAAGCTAGAAATTTGGCTTTCTATTTGAATTTCACGGATGCTTTTGATTCTATAGATGGCTTTGTGATGTATCGATGTATTTGGCATCATTCTCATGATCTTGGCAGCTTGTTTAAGTGTTTTCCTGAGCTGAGTTGAGAGAAGATTACTTGAGTGCATACTTATTGAGCTATGCTACATTCTGTACTTAATCCTTGGTATCAGAACTCTGTTGATTATGTATTCTACGTATCTGTCTGTGATTATCTTTTTTCCCAGGTTTGGAAGGATTGCTTGGATCTCCTGCTGGATTCTATTAATTGTGTCTTTGGTTTGATCCTTGCTGCCTAGCCATATATCCAGGAATCTTGTATGACTTTTTTGATCCAGTTCTCTAACTTCTTCTTGGTTAACTTCAATATAGACTTTGTTGGGTTCTTTGGATGGGTTATTGATTGTAATTAGAATTGACTTGTCTCCATTTATTTGCGAGTCATTCGCTGCATAGAATCCTTTTGCCCTTTCTAGGATATGGTTCATATCCTTCTGTGATCTAGCTATCCATGTAGTATCATCCATGTAAGCTATTGCTGCTTGTCTAATTGCAAGTTTCCTTGAAGCCTCTAAGTCATCTGTTGGCTTACTAAAGTTTGTTGTCCATAAGCAACTCATTGTATAGCCTAACCTTTGGTTTTCTTGTATTTCACAAAGCAGTGGGTCATAGAAGATTCTTCAGAGTAGCGGTGATATGGTTTCTCCTTGATCTATGCCATCCCCTGCTATGATTTCTTTGGTGACACCCACTTTTGTAATTATCTTGATTGCTCTTTATGTGAAGGGATCCAACAGAAGTTTGATAATTTTGTTTAGAACTTTGATTCTTTGTAATACCCTTTCTAGCATCTCTAGGCTGACTGTGTTATATGCTTTTGCTGTATCTTGGAAAAGAATCCAAAGTTCCTTATTCTCCTCTCTGGCTTCTTCACAGATATTGTTTAGCAAATGTATTGGTTCTGATGTGCTCTCCCC